TTTTGCAGATGCTCGTGCATTTTTGCCATTTGTTGTGAATTACGAWCTAACTCCTCTCTGTACAAAGCATTTGAAATAGTACTAACACTAAACCATAGTTAGGCGCTACAGTGTGTTGCCCAGTATAAAAAAATAAAATYAAATTTCGCGCTACGAAAACGAAGTTTCGGAAACGAAGAATTCCGAAAATAAATCTAATGCAATCGCTCTCCGAAATCATATTTGGCGGGAATCTAGACATCTTTGTGTTCTAGAAGGCCGCCAATTTAGCGAGGTAAGTTGAAATTTTTCAGCTAAAATTTTGCGAGTTTTACTGTGCAGTGAATTGAAAAAACTTCTTGAAAATTAAACCTCAGAAAGGGTTGTTTCAATGAAATTTCTCCAAATTTGGACTTAAAACGGCTAGATAATGTATATTTACATAATAGTTTGCAAACATTTGGCATATATCGTATTTGCAATAATATTCAGGGTTCAATTTTCAGTATGTTTTTAGTTCTTGTGCCCAGTATCGTTCCGTGTACAAGATAATTTTTATTGTAAATGAAGTAATCGATAAAGCATCTTTGGAAATGAATGCAAAGTGTGTTTTTATTTGTATAGATGTTTTATGCTCTTCGTATGTAGCTTTGTTGTGGTTAAATCTGCTTTGATTGTTGTACACAACGGAGGATATAGTACGTATAATTCAAGTCCCCCTTCTAAATTACATTTCATTCACTTTTCGGCCCATTTATAAGAAATAATATGAGTAAAAAGTTACAAAAACTGTTAGCGATATTATCTCGTTTAAGTTGTTTATTTTTGAGAAAAATTGAAGTGGTACGCTACTGGACCTGGTGGCATGAAACTGGGCACTCAAGTCGTCTTGGAAAAAATGGTAATTCTAACAGTAATTAAAGGTTTTCGATAAAATAATTTTATCAGTGTACTAACAAATAAATTTGCTTTATTGAGGAAAAAAATTAAAATGATTGAGGTTGGTATGCAAAAGATATTGCGATTACAAACTGAAATGGCACGATACAGGGTAACACAATGTAACGTAAGAATAAATGCTATGTAGTCAATTAGACATTTAGACTCACTGATGTTTTGGAAAATAATGCACTATTGTGATAGTTCTGAAAGGTCGCATAGGTTGATCGTCTAGTCGTATAAATCAGGGTTGCAAGAACTATTGTAAGTCCCGCTGAAAAGTTAAGCAAGAATGGAACGTTTTCATAATTATGATTACCGAGGTGATTTTTTTTCGTTTGATTATCTGCTTACCTTCATCTATACATTAGCGCTTATGGCAATTTGCTTGATTTTCTCTTGATTCAGGTGCTAGAGTAGTAAATGCGAAGTTGGGTCCAAAAATTAAACTATGATCAGAATTAAACGTCTTATCAAAAAGACGCAAACTATCTGTGTTTGGGGTAGATCGCATTTGCCTCGACACATCTGCAGGATCGGCTTTTTGGCCTGTTTTCTCGCCGGCATCAAATAAGTCAGTCAAAAATTTGAATTGTACATCAGTAAAACGCTTCTTCTTAGAAGATAATTTCAAGGCCCAACCCATCAAAAGGTCTGGATAAGTGTGAGACGGTGCCAATTCATCACCTTTTGTTGGTACAGATAACTACTTTCAGCCCTGGAATACTACCAAAGGATTCAATTGCTTCTTTCATTTTGCTGGGGGTTCTCGATATCTTTGCCATAGTTCAAGTATTTATTCATGTCGTTCTTAATATGCGCCGCCTTTCAGTTGCACACCCCCTTTTCACCTTGTGGGTCTGAAAAGTCGATACGTCGAATTTTGATGCTACGACTGGTAAAGTGAGTGTAGAATGATAACATCCGATATGTACAAACGTAAGAGTTGTGATATGGTCATCCTTGTCCTTTCTTGTCACTACCGATTAAATTTTAACCAATTATTACATACCTTTTTTTCTATTGCACCCGCCTAGAATAGTTTAAACTAATTGCAGGTGGCAATACTTATTGTATTTAATTTAATCAAATGTAAATAAAGTATTGTTGTTGTTGTTGTTGTTGCTATATGCCAAGAAGTCCTCGTTTGGCAAACCAATCTTGTTGGCTCTCCCGGAACTTTGTGAGTAGTGTAGCGCCCAGGAAACACAAGGCCTACTTCGCTTTTTCTTTTAGGTAGAAGTTAGAACCATAACATGCGGTACACTACATTGTTTTCAATGTTTTATGTAGATGATACGTGTTGTAAGTACAAGCACACTTTACAGTTGACTCTCTTTGAACGACCACTCTCGTATACGATCATCGTCTGTTCACGTAACTTTGTATTGTGCATTATGCATTTTTGCCACACTGTAAAGTGCTCTTTAAATATTGTAACCATGATTATGATCAAATAACTTTTAGTAGAGTGATCGCACTTAATCCGTGCAACTGTACAAACTAAACAGTTCTATTTTAGTTGTATTTAGTAAATCGTGCATGCGATACGCAAATTAAATTGAATTGATACAAATGAAGCATTCAATACCATCTTGCTTCAGGTCCACTTTTAGTACAAATTAGTACTACTTAGATTTTGTACAGTTGTTGCACGGATTAAGTGCGTCACACTAGAGCAGTATAATTGTTCAAAGATTTTATGCACTGAAATACGAACGTGTTTTGAACTATTTGGGCCTCCTCTGCTGCGATTATAATTGTTTGGGTTTCCTGTGCCAACGTTCTCGTAACCGACCATTTCTCGTAAGCGACCACTTTTCCCTGATCCCGAGGTGGTAAAAAAAAACAACAACAAAAACGGAGAGATAAATATTAAACAAAGACTGACAAAGACATTGGGTAAGAACAACTTTGTTTCTTTTTCTTTTTCATTCAAACCACAGGCAACCCAAGCAGAGCATACCAAAAAAATTTTTTAATAAAATCATCTTACCTTGATATCATGTGTTCTTGATGTTATTTAACATTGCTGTGCTGTGTGTGGTTTTGAAGGGATTTAGACCTATTTTATAAAAAATATCACCCTCAGTAGTAAAAGACTACAAGGCTGGTTACAGAACTTCCACACCACTTGTCTTTAATAGCCGAAAAAAATATCTTAAAGGCCCAGTCACGAGCATCATGCTTTGCGCGCGTTTGTTATTGTTTTGGTGTGCACGGAAGCGAGGCACCAATGGTGTCTCACCTTCAACTCAGCTGAGCAGTGACACTGTTCCATGTGCGTAGCCGAATTTATATTTTAGAAGAAAAAAAGTTTACAAATCGCAATATATTTTAAAGCACAAGGCAATCGAAGACAATCACAATGTCAGTAAATGCTTACGGTTCATTTGTTGATCCGAATGAGGACGATTTAGAAACCAGTAGTTCGTCCGGCGAAAGTTCGTGTGACACCGAGGTTGAGGTACGTATATTCCTCAGATACAGCTTCGATTTTTGTTCTTACTGCAATTAATGTCTCAATGTATTATATTCCTTATAGGACCGCGATTATTGCGACTGTAAAGGGAAGTGTTTCAGAAAAAAAGGCAAAGGTGTTTGCAAATGCCGCGCGAGCGCCTTGTCATGCCACGAAAACTGCTCGTGCAACAAAGCGCAATGTCGGAATATAAAGGTAANAGTTTTTGCTTAATAATTTTACAAAGTTGGTTTTATGCTGTCATTTATAGGTTGTTCCTTACAATGCAGCGATTCTTATTATCAATTATTAGTTATTTAATCAATGACATATTCAACTATTTACATATACCATATTTATGTTACACTTTTCTGTCAATATTACTACAATGTTAGAGTGTAAACACCAAAAGCGTGCAACAATTTGCGCTATTTACTACAAAATAGTGCTAATCAAACAAAAGAAAACAATAGAATTAGCATAATTTAACAGTATTTATATTGCACAGTTTTAGTGTTTCCACTCTATTGTTCCCAAAGTAGCTACCRCATACTGTATTTATAAAACATTTAAATTTATCAGACTTCCAAACATATCAACATTAATAATGAAATGAAAAAAAATTACTATATTACTTTTTTTTGGTGTTCATGTTAAATCGTGATGGCGCTTTCAGCAATTCCTCTGTTGAGGGTGGAGCTTTCATACCAATTGTGGYAGCTATCTGCTTAGGGTTAAATTCATCAACRTCAGCTTTGGAGGAGAAGCAGYCTTGAAAAGACCTCCTGTTTTCCAGCATCCTTGCTGCCATGCTGGGGAAAAAATCATATGTTTTCTCTTCTTTGACWATCTCAGCATGGTACTTCTGTGTTCTTTTMGAATACTTTCTGTGGCCTGCCAGGTTACCATCAGCTTTGCATTTTGGCTTTCTGAACAGATGGAAGTTATGATCTATTGCAGCAAGWAGTACACGCATGATGAAGTAGGGGTATCTAGTAAAGTTTCAAAAAACCATATTAGCAACCATCTAAACGTTTTAGCTTATTTTGATTAAAATTTGCAAATTGTGCTGCACAGATRCATGTATRCTAAATCCACTTACGTAAATAATGTTCWTAGATTTTTTGTAAAGTTAAAGTGTTGTAATACTYACTCAAAAGSATTCCTTTTTGGAACATACTTTGTCATCATGCTGTTGAAATTCTCAAGCTCTCCAGTATGTCTAAMATAGATCAATTTAATAATAACCATTTATATTTTCACTGCCTTCACTAATGGAATCARGCTTTCATTTAGTCCAATACAGTTGAGTTAGTTTTACTCAAAGTTCTGTTTTCTTTTGTTTTAGCAGGGTGCACATGATGACTTTGAAGTAGCTTTATAGTGAAAATGTGCACATTAGCAMAAAATTGAATTTCATTTGAAAATTTAATATCATGTAATAAAAGCACTCTAACTATKCATCATTTTTACTTTAATTTGGTAGTTGCATGTACAATACCAACCTAAATCTCACATAAAAGTGTAGTGTTCGTAGCCACTTTGCGTCAAGAACAATCTTACGCAGGGCCTCCATTGGCTTTGATGATTTTAGCAAAGGCGGTTTGGAATTGTCACCTTCGGCTTCAGGGCCATGATTGCATGCAGACTCGGCCCAGCGATGTTCACCACAAWCATGGTGAAGTACACCTTCCCAGGAGCTCTATAGTAAATACAAAAATATTTTAAATCGTAACTCTGAAAATGATTTTGTATTTATTTCACTAGTGTTAACAGATTGTACACGGGTGCACTGTACCAACCATTTGATCCTTCTGCAGTAAATATAAAAAGTAAATTAMAAAAGGTTGAAATTTGTCATTGTAGTTAGATTTYCTTCATTGTGTTTGAGTTATTGTATTGCTTACTTTCAATTCRTTGACATCCCCATTCGAAGACTGTGCACAGTACCAAAAGTGATTTACAATTGGTTCAATCCATACTTTCAAACCTGCACAGCTCTTGACTTTAGCAGCCTAAAGTGTTTGAATAATGTTATTACTTTTATAAAGTATATRTATATTGCTGTTTTGTATCACAGAATATCAACAAAATATACTAAAATTAACTTTACCTTATGCAAAGATTTGGATAATTTCTTGGCCTTGTGCCAAATGTCCAATGAGTGGACTATCTGCTTCAGTTCAGGAAATTTTGCTAAAATTAGAAAGCAACTCTTTGAGTACAAGCAATTTTAATTTTTAATGAAGGTTGGGATAAATGTATATTCATACCATTTTATTGTTTAAAATTTTGGATATTGACAGAACATTGTTAGACCACAAGGTCTCAAAAGATTTTTTCTGCAAATAATTACCTTTCATATCCCTCACAAGCTTTATAATGGTAGATGATGCATCTGTGCAAAGCTCACTTATAGTAATTTCCTTCATTAGCTTCTCTAAGAGCCTCTTCAGCCCTTCCCTCTCCATAGTAATGGAATTCCCCCCGGTCTCTCTTTTATCAATAACTGCCAGGTCAACAATGGCCTTGGTACAATGCTCCATCAATGAATACACACAGTATCGAGCGCTGTGTCCAGGCGAATCGTTTCGTCCATCTCCACTCAAGCAGAGGTCCTTGTATACTTTAATAGTATTGATAACTTCTCTGTTCATCTTTGCCCAAACATTTTGCACTACTGGCAAAGCACAATTTCTCTGAAAATGGCAAAAGCTGTTCTTGCTCAAACCATAAAGCTTGAGAGCTTTGCAAAACAAATCTATTTTTGCAAAGTTATTGCCTGAAAGCACAAGGGCAATAGCAAAAAGGGAATTATTGGCATAGACCTTTGAATACCTATTGTAGGTCACAATCTCAGATGATTCCCATTTACCATAATGTCCRCTACTACATTTCCAGTCAATCTCGATGCATGTTCCAACACGCTTGCCCCAATGTTGAAGAACCTTTCCACACACTTGACCATCCTGCAATGTGGCAGTGCAGAAGTCCCCTTTTAGATCCAAAAGCTTTTGGGTTGACACCATAACACGTTCCCTAGAATGTAGCTCAATCATATCCTCAAGTCCATCAACTTCTTTTAATTTTTCGAATGACCTTTGAAATGACAACAGCACTTCCTGTGAATTTTCTTCTAAAGACCTGTCTATAGCATCTCCCTTTTCATTTTGCTGTAATGGCTCACTTGTTACATTCAAACAAGATTCAGTTGATACTGTATCAGACAGAGATTGACCAGAAGACTGYGATTGAAGAGAGAAGTTCATAGTTGGACTGTTGCCAGAACACATTGATGTTTGAATATCTTCAGTTTCTTCAGTTGATACTGTATCAGACAGAGATTGACCAGAAGACTGTGATTGAAGAGAGAAGTTCATAGTTGGACTGGTGCCAGAACACATTGATATTTGAATATCTTCAGTTTCTTCTTCAGGGAAAACATCTTCCACCATTGTTAGAGTGGCTTCATCATCTCTCTCAGATATATCCATGTCAGATACAAAACTTGTTTCACTTAAAGCAGAAAGCAACATGTGAATACTATAATTTATATTCATAAGCCTTGTGTTAAAATATATAAAGTTTAATCAAGCAAACTTTTTTTCCTTAAATATTTTTGCATGTGATTTTTGAAGATGCAGTGCAGTTACTGTATTTCTTATTTTGTTTCATAATAAAGTCTGAAATAATTGTCAGTAAGTGCTGTGATTTTTAGACCAAAAATGTAAAGGGAAGTTATGACGCTAATTTAGTAGATGCATAACAATTGTAAATGCATGGTACTAGATCAACTGATCACAAAAAAATGTGATAATTAAAACTTGCTTTATCAATATGGATTTGATATRGATTTTTTTAAACTATTTATTTGCATACTTGACAACATAACTAATGAATTATGTAAGAAGAATATTGCATACCTTTCACTATCATCATCTGTTTTGCATAAATCCTCAACAATARAATCCATTCTGAAAGAAAGGTAAATTTATGTTATTAKCAATACAGTAAAAAACTAGACATTACCGAACATAGTGAGGAAAATTTCAAAGTCAGATTTGTTTTAGTAGAATGTTGTATTTTGGTGTTGTGGTCATGTTTGAAACTAATCAACAAATGCTAATTAGTGATTATAATCAATGAATATGTCAACATCCAATAAGTGAGTACCTAACGTCAAAGTCATGAACACTATCTTCTTCACTATCTGATTCTGAGGAGCTCCCAGACTGGTCTTCACATGTAGAAAATGGATTCCCAGGTACAATATTCAATTGTGTCATGCTACAACTACAAGTGGTAGAATTTTTGCTTGTGCCGGTAACATCCACATCTCTACAAATATGAAATTGTATATATAAATGCAAGGAAAATGCAGTAATAAAACAGACATTCATTATACTGACATCATAACAAATATAAAGACAGACATAGAACTGAAAAATACAAACAACACGAAGACTATTACAACATAAATACAGGCTGACATAGACAGACATAGCAGTGACAAATACAAACAACCAGAATTAAACTAAAACTTACAAACTTTTACTGGATTGAGTAATAGGACTCTCAAGAGATAATCGTCGTCTTTTCCTTGATGCAGATGGAGCCGCAAACCGTCCATTCGACGGCAACGGTGTAGAACATAATGCCGAAGAAAATTGAAGGTTTTCTCCAGTCACTTGTACGATTGGTGCTATACTAGCACCTCTAACAACAAAATAAATGGTTTCTGTTACAAAGATATTTCACTATTTTCTACACTATAGACGGTCAATCTCGCTCATAGTAGAGAACTACAAGTATTACAGTACAATGTAGTTACTATTCTACATGTAGATACAACTCACCTCCTCTCTTCCGTGGGTAAATGGAGCAGAAACTCAGCAAACTCACTATTTGTGGTATTTTCGAAACCAAGCGATGACTTTCTTTGGTTCCATAAGTCATATACAGAAGATCTAAGCCGCACTAGCTTGGCAGAGCCCGAAAGACGCGGTCTCCCTCGCGAAGGATTCGCCATTTTGTTATCAACTACATCCACATAGCCCAGAAATATTTCAATTTTCAGGCAAAAATTCCAAAGAAATATACAAAATGATAGCTTAAAATGATTGTTTGATGTCTTGGGAATAACAAGACAGTCTAGAAAGATCTTAATATTWCGCTAGTTGGCCGATGGAAATAGATGAAGTTGGGATACAATAAATCGTCTAATTTTCATATATGGAAAATGGCCGCCTCGGGTGTGGGTGCGCAAAGCATGATGCTCGTGACTGGGCCTTTAACAGCAATAGCTTGTTTGGCGTTAATGCCTCTGTATCGAAKGGGTTATCTGAGACAGGTGTTAACGGTCAATAAGGTCTCGTCTGATACTATCTGATGCTGCAATAAGGCTCTCAGAATCTTCCTCACAGACCTTATCATGCGTTCCCRTACTCCTCCTTGGTGGCTAGCTTCAGGGGGGTTGAAATGCCATTGAACTTTATCACGACGAAGCCGATCACTTATTTTGCTTTGATTCATACGTTGTATAGCTTCACGTAGTTCCCGCTCAGCGCCCTTAAAGTTGGTACTGTTATCGCTAAAGATTTCTTTTGGTACACCACGTCTTGCTACAAATCGTTGATATGCGCAGATAAACGAATCGCTTTCCAATGTATGTGCGATTTCAATATGTACCGCTCTAACAGAGAAACATGTAAACAAACAACCATGTCGCTTTACTTGGTTGCGACCTTGCTTTACCAATAGAGGTCCAAAATAGTCTACTCCAACTCTGGTGAAAGGCGGTTCAGAGGGGACTAGTCTAGCCACTGGRAGAATGGAAAAATGGAATCCTCCCATAGAAAGGAGATCWCGTAGTTGCGCCACAAGTATGAGTGCCTCGTCGATAGTCAAAACGGATTTTAAGCAATCGTCAACATAAAATTATTGTTGACTGTATCAATTGTCTCAGTATCAAAGTTCTCTTTATTGTCGATGGCAGTTTTCCGTAGACTGAAGCTTGCACAGCTTGGAGAGGAAGTAGCACCAAAAAGCTGTGCCAGCATTTGATGATCCGTTGGCTCTTTAGACAGGTCACCATTCCTCCACCANCACGTGCACAGCTCAGGGAAAACTCGGACTGTTTTTATTTCGAACTTTTCAACCGGCGCCATTTTTGAAGTACGATGCATAGTTTATTTCTTATGTTTGGGGGAACGTACTGAAAATGTGAATATTGGATTGTATAACATTTGGGGGATGTCGACAGTTGTACAATTTTCTGCACTCCCCTTAGTAGTCGGGAGTTTTTGAAGTGATTCCATGGAAACTGTCGTCCAATCAGAGGGAGTTTTGCAAGACGGTCAAAGTCCGAGTCCAACTCGGTCGATGAAGGGTTGACCGGATGCAAAAATTGTGTCCGAATAGCGTACAAACATGACGATTTGGCACGGTTGGATTTATAAATCGTTGAAAGGTTGCCCAATTCTGGATAGAAGGATCCTAGAGACATGCCGCTGAGGGTATTTTGGAGGCAAAAGATGGATTTAAGATATTTTTTTCGGCTATTAAAGACAGTGGTGTGGACGCTCTGTAAACAGCCTTGTAGTCTTTTACTACTGAGGGTGATATTTTTTATAAAATAGGTCTAAATCCCTTCAAAACCACACACAGCACAGCAATGTTAAATAACATCAAGAACACATGATATCAAGGTAAGATGATTTTATTAAAAAAACATTTTTGGTATGCTCTGCTTGGGTTGCCTGTGTTCAAACTAGTTACAATGCCATTAAAGAACATTAATCAGTTCAAGAGTTATTAATTACATCGAATAGATAGATAGATTATTATTATAATTATATCTTTTATAATACATAAACTATATATACATCTTCTATATTTTAAAGTTTGTATTGTATTGAATTGTAAAAACCATAGACTATGAAATGGCTAGAATAGCGATGCAAAGCAGGACAAATCCAGACATAGATGTCTTGTTTTTATAGGCAAAGACATTAATCTCTGCAGACCACAGGAACTAGAGCTGATCAACACATATAACACTAAATGATTTTACACTGCTAAATATATATCAAGCTTAATATTCCAGTGCCTTGCTTTGGTAGGTTAGCACAAAACATTAGCAGTAAATGATTTAATGTTTGCACTCTTGGCAATGTGGTCTGGCTCTCCATCAAAACATGAACAAAATACTATAACATGCTGTAAATTGACAATAAGTCAAACATCTTAGAGGAAACCCAATTTAAAAAAATTATTTCTAAGTTCACTTCCTTTATTGTATTGCAGTTAAAAAATCATTCTTAAGATAAAAATTGCTTAATAATTCAGTTAATATTTTTTATAAAAATCATAAAAATTGCTTACCAGAACACTCTCGCTTCCAAAGCATTCAAGGCTTAATAGCACTCATTTCTGCAAACAAGTTG